TGGACGCAAGATCTTCCTCTGTCCCTCCTCCTCTGTGTATCAGCCTTTCCAATAAAAAAACTTTTTTTTTTTTAATAAAAAAGGGGGGAGGTCCAGGTTTGGCATGCCCCTGCCTTGTCTGGACTCAACAGAGCTGGGCAGATGTACCAGACGGTGATGTGTCACCCGACAGGTTTTGGAGGGGGAACCATCCGGAGTGCCAAGGCAGTGCCAGGAGCTGTGGTTTTCTGCCCCGAGGACCCCCACACAGCCGTGGGCTGCCCTGGGATCACAGTCACCTCCCTCTGTCAAGGGCAGGTTCTGTTTTCCAGTCCCCTGGTGCCTCTCCAATACTTTAGGAAGGTCCTAACACCCCCACACAAGCTTGTCCAGTATCACTTCTGGCCATAAAGGACCATGGGATGGGACAGGCAGGAGGAGGATGGCCTGCCCCCAGGCTGATGTCTGCCACAGGTGTTTGGTGGCAAGTCCGGGGCGGGCAGGATGGAGGAGCTGATGGGAGGTGGCGGGGGCTGGTGCTGTGTCACTTCCGTGGTTCTCGCACACACAGATTAACATCAGACAACCAAGGTGACCTTGAGCCTGACAGATTTGGATAGGATTTATTGATCAGACTGTTTTTAGAAAACCAACAGCAAAACACTGACAAGATACATAAATACAGACTGGACGTTTTCGGGCAAATTCACTGTGTCTCCTACTGGCTTGTGGGAACCGGGTCAAGTGGGACAGCTGTCCTGATCCTACGGCATGCACACCAGCCGCCAAAGGGACGTGCGTGTCTCCCAGGGCCACGGCTAAGCACCCTCCAGAAAAGCCAGCAGCCAGCGGCCAGCGGCCAGCCTCCAGTGGCCAGGGCCTATGCTCGGCCCGTGCCAGTGCACTTGGGACAGGCCGCCCTTCTCGCCTCACTCCCTCCAGCAATCTGCCACTGCTGGGGGCTTTTACAGGGAGAAGCCTCACCCCCCCGAGCGTGCTCTGTGCACACCAGTGCCCCCGGGGAAGCCTCCTTCATATTCTGGGTGAGCAATTACTGCTGAGTGAAATCCCTGTCTTCTCTGAAAAGCGCCTCTGATTCACCCTGCGCACGGACACAACAGGGCCTTTAAAACATTTCTTAAAAAGTTTTTTAAAAAATTAAAACCATGAAAATTGCACTAAAAAGATGAGTATCACTTCTGGAGCACGACTCAGGACTTGGGAAGAGGTGGCTGCCCACTGACCCGAACGCCCACGGAAGGGAAACGCCCTTGGCACGCAGGGCCAGCGGCAGATGCACGGAGGGCGCCCGGCAAGTGACGGCTTCGGGCCGCTCTGAGCACGGGCCCAGAGACCCTCAAACTGGGAAAGGAGGAGAGCGAGACAAAAGGAAAGTTGCTGTGTTTCTTTTCTTTTTTTTTTTTTGTGCTACATTAGAATGCTGGCAGTAGACAACCCAATAACCTGTGCTACTTTATAAACATCTGTAAGAACACACAAAACTACACTGGCTTTATACGATTAGCTCACCAACATAATCGTAGAGGACAAATCCGGCCTTTCCTACAGACCAAGCTTTGTGACAAAAGGAAACAAGCCCCACAAGATCACAAGGAAAGCAAGTACCTGCTAAAGGTCAACACACCACATTCAAGTGAAGGGACGCCCCCTACATCACCGCGGGAGCTGGGAGTCCTGCAGGGGCCGGCAGGGCTGGGTAGGAGCCGGACAGGGGTCGGGCAGGGGCTGAGCAGGGGCAGGGCAGGGGCCAGCAGGGCTGGGCAGGGGCTGGGCAGGGGCCGGACAGGGGCCGGACAGGGGCTGGCAGGGGCTGGGCAGGGGCTGGGCAGGGGCTGAGCAGGGGTGGGGCAGGGACCAGCAGGGCTGGCAGGGCTGGGCAGGGGCTGGGCAGGGGCTGAGCAGGGGCGGGGCAGGGACCAGCAGGACTGGGCAGGGGCTGGACAGGGGCTGGGCAGGGGCCGGACAGGGGCTGGCAGGGCTGGGCAGGGGCTGGCAGGGAGCCTGCCTCTCAGGACTCGTGGCTGCATCCACTGGCCAAGCACAGCTGACCGTGGCAAGCACAGCTGACCAGGCTGCTGTCTGCTGGCTCTGGCCCCGCTGGGACTTTCCCTCTAACATATCCATCGTCTTCTCCGACTCGAAGAGTTGCGCTCTCGGAGCAGGGAGGAAACACTTGTGTAGAAAAGTGGAGACACTGCATGGATTTCAAGGATCTGTGCTTTACAGTTGCTGCTCTGGCAGCTGCTGCGTCCCTGCTGACACACCTTCTGCTTAGCAATGTCACTGTGCTACGCGTTCTGCTGTTAAGCCTCTATCTACTGCTAAGAACGCCTGAAAGTTTTAGATCGTGTCATTCAGGCCTGAACAGAAAAAGAAAAAAAAAAAGCTGCTGCCGGTGAAAGGGTTTTATTCGGCCCCTGAAGAATGGTTCAAATCTGAGTGTTCTGTTTCGGCTTACAGCTTTCACAAGATGCGGAAAACATCTTATTAAACGAAGAAATCAATATTTTCTTCATTTAATCAAGTACTGACATTCCCGGATAAATTAGTACATACATGAGTGACCTGACAGTATTATATATTAGAGTTCAATTCTCCATTTAGGAAACTCCTTGAGGGTGGACTTTCTATTCCAAGGAAAGCATGCAAACATGATACAGGACAAAGATGATCAGAAGAAAAAGAAAGAACTCCTCTAAGGAACCCACGGACAGCAGCTCTCAAGCACGAGAACGCGGCCTGGAAGCCCAGCTGCCCCGAGTCGGTCGCGCCCCGGAAAATGCCTGGCGTACTCCACGTCTCGGGATGAACGGCTCCCCAGGACAGACACACAGAGGAGCCCGCCTGCCTTAGAGCCGCACCTCACCTAGACAGTTCTATATATAATCTCTATCCATTTGTGTTTCTATATATTGCACTTCAGTTTGCAGGACTGCAGAACACAGCTGGAGTTTCTCCAAGAGGCAGACAAAGAGCAGGCAGCAACTCTCCCAGACCAAAGCAGCAGAGTGTAAGGGATTCCGAGCACTGGTGGCAGAAGGACGAGAATGTCAGGTGACCCCTTCTAGTACCTTCTGTCATCCACACTGAAGTCAGCACAGTTTCCTTTGGAGTCTAGAACATGTGCACGTGTGCGCCCAGAGCACTCACAGCTGGTCGCACCACACCGCTGTCACCAGTACTGACCTCAGACATCCTCATCGGAGGACACGCACTTGGAGGATGTGAGCAGGTATCAGCCAGCACGGACTGAACCACAGCAGTCCTCTCTCCAGCTTCCTGGCGCAGCAGAGCCTGAGGCCTGATCACACTCCAGGGACTACGACAGACCAAAAGACCGAGCACTTGGCCTGCGGTTCCATCTACAGAAATCCCTGACAACACCGCCTCTTCTGCGCCCTATTGCAAGGCTGCCCCGAGTTGGGACATTCCCCACCAAACAGCCACGTCCTGTGTGCAGCTCAGGGCGCAGCTCAGGCCGACTCGCTCCTGCACAAGGCAGCTAGGCAGTGGGAGGCGAGGGTGCAGGCTGCTAAGAGCTCAGGGAAAGAGGAGCTGCCGTTCCCTGCCTCTCTCCAGAAAGAACCAGACTCCCAGGGCCCCGGCTGTCAGAGGGCTCCAGCAACGCCAGCCCACACCAATGGCATGGAGAGCGCCCAGGAGGTGGCCGGGGAGGCAGCAGGCCAAGAGTTTGTCCTCCTTAGAACTGACACTGGATGGTAACACTTCAGCCATCACTCAGAGGTGATTTTAAATCCACACGTAAGCCAAAGAGATCCCTTCTGAGATGAAGGAAAAAGAAGAGTGACAACTAGGTGAAAAGGAGACGAACGAGAGCTGTGCTCCCGTCCCACGTGCATCCCCCGCTGGGAGGGACCGCGGGCAGCCCTGGACTGGTGCCCTGAGCATGCCCTGGACTGTGGCCTCCGGCGCCTCAGCCTCCAGCCGTCCGTGGCCAAGCTGCTAAGCACACAAATCAGAACTACAGTTTCACACCAAAAGGCAAATGATACTGTCCTCCCCTTCTGGTGCTGATCTTCAAACAACACAGTGTTCTTCAGGGTGACCTGTGGCTTCCCCTGCAAGACCTGGACCCAACAACTAGACTCACAGCCTCGTGCACATTAAAGCAGAGAGGAGAAGAGAATGCAGCAAGCTAGCGAGAGTCAAGGACGGCTGCCTCCGGAAGTGGCGATGACACGGTCTGGAGACTGCAAGAGGAGGTGTGCGAAAGGAGATGGTCAGTGACAAGGCAGAAGCCAGAGCAGCAGGGCCCGCAGTCGGAGCTCCTTCCCCCGCTCTGCGGTCCTCCAGCCTGACAGTGGGAGACCTGAGGCTGCGCAGTGAGGGTCTAGCATTCCCTATGAAGAAACCAGAGGCCTTTGCCACCACCAAGCCCAGGGGTGCTTCACAGCTACTGCACAAGAACAACTCTGGCCACTGCTATTCCTCAACTCCGAGCACTGGTGCCGTCACAGGCTCGGGAGTGCCCATTTCTCCTGGCAGGCCGGCTGGCACCACTGCTTCCACCACCAAGGGAAGGGGGACATTGCCTGGCGAGCATTGCGCAGCTGCTCGGCTTTCCTCCAAAGCTCCAGGGATCCACCTGTGGCACGAGCCGCCACCCCTGCTTCCTTGCGCAGACGCAGCTCAGCAACACCTGTCTGAACACTTGGCTTTCACAGCAGCCTTCAGGATTGCAAAGCTGAGCTTTTTCATCCTGTCCTCCAAACCCCTCCTTGTTGTGGCTGCTGGATTACAAAATTACTTTAATTTTACTGATGATAAAGTTAACTTGTAGAGCCCTGACTGCCATGGTCACATGTTCAGAATTCCTTTCAGAAAGCTTCTTCATCTCGATATCACTCTTAGCGTCCCTGCAGAAGTCCCCTCAGCCTCACTGAGAAGGAAGGACAACGTGTGTGCGTGCGTGCGTGTGCGTGTGCTGGGGCAGGAGAAGCACGTGGGAAAGTGTGATGTCCATCAACTTAAAACCAACGTACAGAAAGGCATCTGATGTATTTTCTGAATAAGGCCTTGATCAGGTAACCAATCCTCTTTGCAGCACATTCTACACTGCCCATAAATAAAGGAGTCTCTTTAAATTAACATTTCCAGAATGGATGAACAGTTCACGAGTGTTCATTTCAAGCGCTCGATGAGTCCCTGTGTGAGTCCGAGGTGTAGCAGCTGCGTTCGGGAAAGGTGTGCGAGGTTGGGGAAGGCCGCGAGGAGCTTCTCCCACGCCAGTTCCAGCAGGCTCGGCACCACCAGCCAGATCTTAAACAGCGACCCAGTCCGCTTGTTTTCGTGGATGTTCACCACTCCTCCGTGGATGTACATGCAACCAGCCTGCAAGCAGTCGGGAGAGGGCAGTTCAGACGGAGCCCCACGCCCCACGCTAAAGATCAGGCCAGAAAAACACACAGTAGGCGGAATCACGAGCCAAAACCTAAAGGATTTCTCACTGATCCGGACACAGTGTAGAGATCGGATCAATAGGGCTTAAACATGAGGGACTTACCTGGGAAAAGCTGCAGCCCCGCCCCACACTCCATGACCAACTCACTTCCTATCCGTCAGCATTAAACCAAAACTACAAGCCCCATGCGCCAAGTGCTGGAACTTCCCCAGTGAAAGTGTCTTTCTAGTGGGGTCTTCGACTTCATCTGTGGGGGAGACCATTCTGCCCTTTGAGGGTGCACCTCTGCCCTCGGGGTAGGGTCCAAATGCTGCAAGCGGCATTTCTCTTAGGTTTAATTTTTTTTTAATAGGGCCGGATGGAACATTCCCTCCAATTTTCTCAGAGGAAAGCCCAGCTTTGCAAGGGTTAGAAACAGTGTGATCCAAAGTCTGCCAATATCAAGATCTTTTTTCCTTGCTGATCTGCCTAAAAAAACTTCCTCAGCATCTGTAGATACACAAGGAAGACGTGAAAACCAACACTTACTGGTGTAACAGCTGCACAGTGGAAGTACACGGGCTCAGGCATTGTGGCTGGCAGCTTCACCCACTGGAAAGTTTGCAGGTTCAACTTCCAGATGTCTCCCAGGATCACCTCTCCGTTATAGCCCCCACAGATGAACACATCTACCAGGAAAAGCAGAGCCAGGATCACACACAGGATGGAAAGTGCCAGGTACCCATACAGCTGGCAGGTGGCTGGCCAGGACAGTGAGCAGCCCACCACCAGAGGACTTCAGCTGTGTGGTGTGTCACCCTGCGGGCCTGTCCCCCCACCACACTGGGACACTAAGTCAGAGCCGCGTGCCTCTGGGGAGGCTTCGCATCCCGGCTCTCCAAGTCAAGCAGCTATAGAAGGCAAATGAGCCAGGGAGCCCAGGGAAGGTGACCAGGAACCCTCAGCCTTCCCAAGAGGTGATGCCCCCGAGCTCGTGCCCACGGCGACCTCAAGGCGCTGAAGGTTTCCAATGGCCACATCTTCCCTTCTGCACAGAGAAGCTGGAAAGCCAGGGTTTCTGTTTTGTTTTTCTGAACACCAGCCACTAACGTAACGAAAGCTTAGTACACACATGAGTTTAAACAAAACACATCTACAGCTGGCAGACTGTCCTTTGCACTAAGGTGCTAGGAAGAACGCACATTTATCTGCTCACAGAGATAAATGCCCTCCACGGAGACCTGTACCCCGAGGAGCAGCGTTTACCACACAGTCAGAGAGAGGTCCTTCCAGCCCTCCAGCCTAAAGAGCAGGGTCTGAAGCTCCACGTGACCTGCACAGTTCTGGGTCAGGAACCAAATTCCCCAGGAGACGAAAGGCGCCGGCTGGTTTGTTGTAAAAGCAGTTGGATGTAAGTCGTTAGGTAACGGTGTTACTCAGGCTTGGGAACTTTCCAGCTAAGTCCAGCTAAGTGCCCAGGACAAGGTGGCACTCCCTCCGCACGGTGCTCGGCCTCAGAACCCAATGAGCACTTGTCTTCAGTCGAGTCTAGACTGAGCTGAAGCCAATGCCTAATTAAACTCAGGAATGGCACCAGAAACTTCCTTGGTTACGATGGAGCAAAACTTTAACATACAGCTCCATTTTCAGAGATGCAGAACTAAGCAGCACTATCTATAAATTTTATCCAAAAAGTCTCGTTGTACTAGAAATGGCGACATAATCCTAGCTAAATCTGAACTAATCTTCTAAAAGGATACGCGCTATCAACTTCATGCATACACACTCCCCTCCCAGAAAAACTTCAGTCAGTATATCAAGCCATAAAATAAGCTACAAATTAATAGACTGGAAGGTCATCCAAAGCTTGCAGGAATGGCTGCAGCTGCTTTCTGAAGCCAAACACGGCCTCTGCTGTAACACAGCCAAAGAAGGAGCGAAGAGTTCTGCTTGGCATCAGACAGAGAATAAACTACGGGGAAACATGCTGAAGGCGTTACTAGGGTTTGGATCCAACGTCCCTCAAGCGTCCACTGCAGCCATGCCTAGATGATTCGCACTGCGACCTTAAACAGACACCTGCAGGGAGCGGGCAGACCTTCAGTGACGTAATACAACCCACGTGTGCACATGATGCGAGCTTCTGAGAGATGCACAGTACCTTAGGCTCATCCTCAGGGTTAAGGAGCAGAACCAAGCCCTCAGGGGAAGGCTCCCCTCAGAGAGGCCACAGTCAGAGGACAGGGCATTCCCAGCAGGCTCGATTACAGAGAGGAATCGAAATGTTCTTTAGAATCCTTACCATTTTTGATTTGAACACAGCTGTGACACCTTCGGGCTGCAGGAAACCCTGTCAAACACACGGACACAGGGATTCTGTCATTCACACAAACACTGAAATCACGTCGGTGTGTCACAGTAAGAAACACAAACACCTCGGAACAGTAAGGCAGCATCCTGACTTCAGGAGTCCCGAGAGCCCCCGCCAGCAGTGCAGGGGAACGAAGTGGGGGGACAGTCACCAGGAGCTCCCCAGCCCTCGGGGCCAAAGGCAGGCACTGAGCAGGGCTCCCATTTCCCACCCCAGTGGAGTTCCACACTCACACCCCCTGCTCAGTCACTGAGAAAGAATCTGAAGTGGCTCAAGGAACGTAACTGCCAACACCAGTTCAACAGATATTTTACTTGCCAACTCCAAACAATTTCTTCCCATCTCCCAAACAAGGTTAAAATATACATGCTAAAAACAAATCAATCATTTACAGTTACCTATTTTGTCATGAGGTTTTGTTGCAATTTCCTCCCATGCATTTGTTTCAAGGTTGTATGCGTGGATCTTGAGGGGAAAAACATATACACAGAAATAAATAACTGTAATTTTAGGAAGCCTGGACAACGGCTTTCTGCCACATTCTGGGGCAGCAGTGTGGCACAGCGGTTGGGGTGCAGTGTGGCACAGCGGTTGGGGTGCAGCGTGGCAATGGGGCGCAGCCAGCCCAGGAACGCCTGGCTTGCTTCCACTTCCTGCTAGCGAGCACTCAGACACAGAGCAGCTGAGGGCTCCAGGGCCTGGGTCTCTGCCCCCGACAGAGTTGAGACAGAGTGCAGGCTCCCAGGCTTCGGCCTGCCCAGCCCTGCTTACTGCTGGCCTTCAGAAAGTGAACCAGTGGACGGATCATCTCCTTAAAAAAAAGATTTACTTTACTTATTCAAAAAACCAAGTTACATATAGAGAGAGGGAGAAAAGAGAGAAAGAGATCTTCCATCTGCTGGTTCACTCTCCAGATGGCCTTAACGGCTGGGCCTGAGCCAGATGGAATCCAGCAGTCTGGAACTCATCAAATACCAGGAAGAGGCTTAGTGTGCTATGCCACGACCCTCTGACTTTCAAATAAAATAAAAATAAAAAAAAAATTCTAATTTTAGAGCCCATTTAGGTTCATAGCAAAATTGAAAAGAAAGTACAAAGATTTCCGTGATAGAAAACTGGGCCTCAAACAACAGCATATGGAAACATGCACTCTGGTTGAAGTCTCCCTTCTTTTCATTTGCTTTCCTGTGACCTTTTGTAACTCTGAAATAAGACCAAAAATTAAACAAGGTAGTTAAAGATTAACCACATACATGACTGCAATTTTTAAAATTCATATTAAGAAGAAAAGCATTGGGATAAAAAGTATAAGTGTATGTGCTGTTCTGCAAATACTATTTTCTCTAAAATAAGCATGTTTTAAGGTAGAGTTACAGAGATAGAGAACAAACATACATACACAGACTCTGCACCTGCTGACTGCCCACACGACTGTCAAGGCTGGGCTGGGCCAGGCTGAGTGCAGAAGCCTCACCTGGGTCTCCCGCCTAGTGGCAGGGCCATCTTCTGCCACTTTCCCAGCCATGTTATCGGGGAGCTGGATAAGAACTGGAGCAGCCAGGACATCAACTGGTGTCCTGGGATGCCAGCATCACAGGTGGCAGCTTACTGTGCTATTCTACCATGCCAGGCCCCAGCAAGCTCACGTGCATTGTTAGAACAGAGAAGAAGTAAGTGCTGTGAAGGAAATGAGGGAATGTAGTTCCGACAAAGCTTGCAGAAGGCCATTCCTCTGCAGCCTCATCATGATTTCTGCTGGGCATGTCACAGTTGTGACATTTCAGAAATGCCACGGGGCTCAGGCCGATGAAGGCCTTCAGAACGAGCCTCGGGGCCTGCCTGGCACGCACCCGGGCACTGCTGCAGGTGCCCGTCACCAGCAGGACAGGGACGGGCTGTCCTTGAGCATGCAACTCCAACTCTACTCAAGCTATTCAATTTCTCTTTTAACCACTTTTCTCACGTCGTATTATGGGGATACTTGTCATACAATCCTTGCAGCGTCTGACACATGCTCTGTCCACTGGAAAGCACCCCAAGGATGCAAACCATGACCTTCTGCCAGGAGCACCTAACGCCACTCAGCTGTTAAGGAAGCTGCTCAAACTGAAACAGCCAAAGTAGCAGAGTTCCCTTGCTTAGCGTGACACGTACCTCCTCACATTCTCATCCCTGTCTTTTCTCTCTCTCTTTAAATGCTTTCTATGTTTATTATCATGTACTTGAAAGAAGAATCATCTGCTGGATTCAAAATGTACACAAAGGCCATGGCTGGGGCCCGGCGGCGTGGCCTAGCAGCTAAAGTCCTCGCCTTGAATGTGCCAGGATCCCATATGGGCGCCGGTTCTAATCCTGGCAGCTCCACTTCCCATCCAGCTCCCTGCTTGTGGCCTGGGAAAGCAGTCGAGGACGGCCCAAAGCCTTGGGACCCTGTTCCTGTGTGTGGGATACCCGGAAGAAGTGCCTGGCTCCTGGCTTCGGATCGGCATAGCATCAGCCCGTTGTGCTCACTTGGGGAGTGAATCATCAGATGGAAGATCTTCCTCTCTGTCTCTCCTCTCTGTATATCCGCCTTTCCAATAAAAAAATAATAAAAAAAATCTTTGAAAAAAAAAAAAAGCCATGGCTGAACCGAAGCCAGAAGCCTGGAACTCCAACTGGGATGCTGGCATGGCAGGAGAGGCTTACGCTGTTGTGTCACAACGCCACGAGGGCAGCCGGGGCCCAAGGGTCAGGAGGAGCGGCCAGCACTCTAACGTGGACTCCAACAAGTGACACGGGCATCCCAATGACCTAACCGGCTGCGTTATACCACTGCCACTATTTTTATTGCTTTATCTTCATCATCTTTGAAAGGCAAGCAGAAGGAGAGCTTCCATTTACTTGTTTATTCTCCAAAGGCCTAATAGCCAGGGCTGGGCCAGACAAAGCCAGGAGCCCAGAACTTCATCTGGGTCCCCAGGTGGGTGAGCAGAACAGAAGCACTTGAACCATCACTAGCTGAATGCCAGGGTGTGCGGTGGCAAGAAGATGGCGCAGAAACAGAGGAGGCGGGATGCAAACCTGGCCCTCTCCCACGGGGTGTGGCTCCCAAGCCACAAAGCAACGGATACAGCAAACGCTGCCCTTGTTTGTTCTTTGAAATCATACCTTGTTCAAGGAGTAAGCCGTCCAGGACGTGCCCCCTCCCAAGATGTAAATCCTCTGGCCGTCATGTGCAATTTCATGTCTGTATCTAAAAATACACAACAAAATGTTTATAACTAAGTGAAAACTTATCTAAAATTCTGCTCTAAGATCTTTTTTTCTAAAGATTTCTACTCATTTTATTTGAAAAGCAGGGCAATCGAGAGACAGATACAGAAACATCTTCCAGTGGCCACGGAAGCCAGGTCTGGCCGGGCCAAAGCCGGGGTCTCCTGTGGGGAGCCGGGGTCCAGGGCCCCGAGTCACCTTCCGCTGCCTTCAAGCAGCGTAGCTTGAGTGTGAACCTCCTATCTGAGGGGGGGATGCTGGAGTGGCAGCAGAAGCCATGGCACCACAATGGCAGCTCCTGCAAGTGTCTTAATATTTAAAATTTTTTTTTTTTAGTTATTTCAGAGGTAGAAAAAGAGAAGGAGGAAACCAGAGAAGGAGAGGGAGGGAGGGAGGGAAAGAGCGAGGTGAGAGATCTGTTCACTGCTTCACTCCCCGGATGATCACAATGCCTAGATCCGGGCGCGGCTGAGGCCGGGAACCAGGCACCTGATCCATGTGTCCCAAGTCGATGGATGGCTATCAAATCCAGTTACTACACACAGCATGAGATCCACTAGTTTAAAAGGACACCCCTAAGCTTTTTAATACATCATTATTTGTAATAATAAATTACCAGAAATGATCTAAGTGGTGACAACAGAGAAATGGTTAGACTACAGAGTATGCACGCAATGGATTAGTGCGACACCGCAGGAACACAGACACGAAGGGTTAGTTACTGAGAACTGCTTCTCTCTCCTTTCTCCTGCTTCAGAAACTTCATATCATTAACTGGAAGGATTGTCAGCTACGTAAGCGCGTACAGCCGTCATCTTAACATGTGACACACACAGACTGGCACAGAAGGTGATTACGAAAGGTAATCTAAAATGTTAACCTTGGTTATCGCTGAGTCTAGACTTTGTCGTTTTCTTCATTTTGCCTATTTGTATTTTCTAGATTTTGTATAATTTTTTACGATAACTTTGAATAAACTGGGAAAACTATTACAGTTTTCAAAAGTTACCTGATGGGCCCAACGTGATGGCTCAATGATTAAAATTCTTGCCTTGCACGCATCCGGATCCCATATGGGTGCTGGTTCCTGTCCCAGCTGCTCCACTTCCCTTCCAGCTCCCTGCTTGTGGACTGGGAAAGCAGTGGAGGATGGCCCAAGGACTTGGAACCCTGCACCCACCTGGGAGACCTGAAGAAGCTCCTGGCTTCAGATCAGCTCATCTCTGGCTGCTGCAGCCACTTGGGGAATGAACCAAAAGAAAGATCTCTCTCTGTGTCTCTCCTTCTCTCTGTAAATCTGCCTTTCCAAAAAAGGTAGTTAAAACTTTAAAATGCAATCTGATTACCTGTAACTAGAGACCCCAGATTCTTGACTTTCAAAGGAAGATATTCATGTAGGAACTTCAAAAATTCATACAGAAGGTATATTTGGAGAAGTTTACACAGATTTCAAGGTTTTGCTTCCAAATAAATATCTTTTAATTTCACTTTTCCACAAACTTTTTGAAGTACTCCAATATTTAGCAGAAGATTATGCTACACGGGACAGTGACTAGTAAATGAAAGACCTGCAGGAACTTTCATGCAAGAAGTCTAGGAGGAAGCTAACTGAGTACAAGTTGTACATCAACCCAGAACATCGTTCAAAATGCTGACAACATGATTCAAAGAAGACACCCAATTGAAAACGCTTTGAAAACTCAGCCTGTTTCCTCCCTTCCCTAAAGGCCCTACTGCTGGTAAGAGTAATGACATCAAAATCATTCCAGCATCGGCTATCTCCCTGGTTCTCTCCTGGAACTTCTGCAAACACAGCCCACTACCGCACTACAACAAAGGCAAACCCTTCCTTAGCACTCAGATGCCATGTGGCTTAAAGATAACCCAGAATCATTGGCTTAATCTAAACAGTGAATAAATATTTGCTTATTGGTTTTGCTTTTAACCTATAGAGGGAAAATCTCTTCAAGTTTTTCAGTGAGATTAATTTAAGAGATTTATTTATTTTTATTGGAAATGCAGATAAACAGAAGGAAAGATGGAGAGAAAGATCTTTTGTCTGATGGTTCACTCCCTAGGTGGCCTCAACGACTGGAACTGAGCTGATCTGAAGCCAGGCTCCAGCAGCTTCTTCCTTGTCTCCCATGCGGGTGCAGGGTCCCAAGTCCTTGGGCCACCCTCTACTCCTTTCCCAGGCCATAGCAGGGGAGTTGGATGGGAAGTGGAGCAGCTGGAATTACAACTAGTGTCTGTATGGGATCTGAGTACATGCAAGATGAGGATTTAGCCACTAGGTTATTGCGACAGGCCCTGAGTTAAATTTTAAAATGAGGCTACTGGTATTAGAAAGGAAAGTACAAGATCTAGGACTCTTACTAGAAGGCAACTAGACAGAATGATTTCATTTTTGAACGTTGAACAGAGCATTTAAAATCAGTGACCTTTCCAATTAGCCACACATCTACTCCTACTTGACCACCCACTTCACCCACCCATCCAGGCACCCTGTACCCATCCATCCATCCAGCAGCCATCCACCCACCCACCCATCTATCTATCCATCCACCCATAACCCACCCATGCATCCATCCTTCAGCCAGCCAAATATCCCTCTTTCCAGGCATCCAGATCTGCAAGCATCACTGTGGGTGTGGCACTGTGCCCAGTTCCGGGGACACGTAAATAACCCAAAGAACACTAATATGCAAAATACTAAAAGAAATAAAAAAGCAAGTACAAAGTAATTTTTTCTACCTACCAAATACAATTTGATTTCTTCTCCAAAGTGTTAATATCTTTCTAAAGACTGAAATATAAGAGGAAATATCACCAAAAATTGAACAGTTCTGGTGAATATACCATTTTCTCACCAGAAAACCTTCTATTGCTGACTGGGACTATTCTAAGGGCAAAAGTCTCTGTTATCCACACACAGAAGGTCAAGTCCCAGCGGGAAGAGCACCTCACCTCTCTTCTGGCAGGTCACAGGAAAGGTTGTTGGGCTTGAGCTGTGTCCACTCCCTGGTGTTGAGGTCCAGTTTGTGCAGGTCGGTGCTGTAGATGTAGCCGGTTGTCCCTCCAAACACATAAAGGGAGCCGTTGATGATGGCCATGGCCTGCACAGCAAGAAGAGGTGAGCAAGACAGACTTGTTAGTGCTGATTGAAATGTGCTTTGCACGGGAACCAGGGCAGGGACAGGCCTGGCGGGGGGTTATGGGGAGTCGCCTCGACTAGGCTGCAGCTCCCACTGGTTTGCGAGAGGGCCAAGGGTGTGCTGGGCAGAATCAGGCTGGACTGCAGCACCAATGGTCTGTGTGGAAGACAGGGCTGGAAACAGAAATGACCCAGCAAATGTAACCACCAGCAGCACGTGCATGAGCTGATTGGGACGACTGACTGTGCCGGACCCTGCACTGGCATTCACACACGAGAATCAAGTCTGGGATCACCTCAGACGAAGTTTCTGTGGAGATCCTTCCAACTGAACTGCTGATATCAGCACCCCAACCATGAAGACACTCTGTCTGCCAGTGGATTCTGAAGAGATTTTATCGTGCTTGGAACGGCAAGATTGGCAGCAATTCAGAACTGTTGAACTATCAAAACTGCTTGAGCAGTGCCCTCGGAGCGTGCCCCACATCGGGGACCCGGGATGGGCGGGAAGCTGGGTGGGGCTTCTCCCTTTGTTTCTCCCCCTTTACCCCAGATACAGAAAAAAATAATAATATTAATGTAGAAACAATGGTCTTACCTACTTTCCTGTAGCCCTTGACCCTTTGTTCCCTAATCAACTATGTAAAGATTATCAAAATAAAATTTTTTTTTTAAAAAATGTGCTTTGCTCATTATCAGATACTGCAAGCCAGGTTTGATGAAATTCTTTAGTACTTTTTAACCTTTTAAAATACCAGGTCTCCTTTTTAAAGAGACTAAAGCTATTGGAGGACTTGTACATTATTTGTAGACCTGGAGACGACCTTCGGAAAGGTAAAACTTTACTCAACTGGAAAACAAGTTCTACCTGCACTGCACCGGGGAGACGTGGTCCTGGGGCCTGCCCAGCTAAGGGTGCAGACACTGACATGAACACCCTACAGCAAACCACCTCTCCTTCCAAGCTCTGTGAAGACAAGCTGCTCCTGAAAGAGGAAGCAAACAGGAAAGCAAGCACCAGCCCCTGGCATCGCCCCACGGCACTGACCCTGGCAAGCAGGAAGCCAGGGGCATGGCCCCACGGCGCTGACCCCTGGCTCTGCACTGTAAGCTCGACTATCCATGGTGATGCTCGGAGCTCACATGCCTCCTGGGGAGGACGGATGAACGAAGACACCGTACGACCTTCCAAGTTAGAGCTCACCAGCGGTTTACCAGTACTCACACGAACTCACTGAGAAGGAAGTCAACATTTGGCCATTTTAAGCTTAGCCTGATCCTAAGGGTCTCTGATGTTTCGCACTCCCAATATTTCCGGCTATAACTTCTTCTTTTTAAAAGATTTATTTATTTGTACTGGAAAGTCAGATTTGCAGAGATAAGGGAAGACAAAGAAAAAGATCTTCCATCTGCTGGTTCACTCCCCAAGTGGTCACAACAGCCACAGCTAAGCCGATCCAAAGCCAAGAGCCAGGAGCTTCTGGGTCTCCCATGTGGGTGGGTGCAGGTCCCAAGGCTTTGGGCCGTGTTCCACTGCTTTCCCAGGCCACAAGCAGGGAGCAGGATGGGAAGTGGAGCAGCTGGGAAATGAACCAGTGCCCATATGGGATGCCAGCACATGCAAGGCGAGGACTTTAGCCACTAAGCTACCACGCCAGTTCTATAATATTTTTTTTTCCTCCCTGTCTTATCCTCTTTTTAAAAAAAGATATATTTACTTTATTTGAAAGTCAGTTACACAGAGGGGGTAGAGACAGAGAGAGAGAGAAACTGAGAGACAGAGAGAGAGATTTTTCATCTGCTAATCCATTTCCCAAATAGCTGCAGTAACCAGAACTGGGCCAGTCCAGACTGGAAACCAGGAGCTTCTTCCAAATCTTCCATATGAGTGCAAAAATCCAAGGCCTTGAGCTATCCTCCACTGCATCCCAGGCCATAAGCAGAGAACAGGATTGAAACTAGAGCAACCACAACTGTAATCGGTACCCATATAGGATGAGGGTGCCACAGGGCGAGGATTAACCCACTATGCCACTGTGCTGGCCTGTGGATTTAGCTTTTCAAACCAGGAACCATCTACTTAACTAATTATGTCAGAAAGTTCTACAAAGAATCCTACCACTCCGAAAAGGGAGGAAACTGCATCACACTAGAGCCCAATTTCTCCATGAGAGTAGGGGACGGAGACATGGTTCTAACACTTAAAGACACCTTTTTTTTTTTTTTAAGATTTATTTTTATTATTTTTTTATTGGAAAGGCAGATATACAGAGAGGAGAGACAGAGAGGAAGATCTTCCGTCCGATGATTCACTCCCCAAGTGGGTGCAACGGTCGATGCTATGCCGATCTGAAGCCAGGAGCCTCTTCTGGGTCTCCCACACGGGTGCAGGGTCCCATAGCCTTGGGGCGTCCTCGACTGCTTTCCTGGGCCACAGGCAGGGAGCTGGAAGGGAAGCGGGGCTGCCGGGATAGAACTGGCGCCCATATGGGATCCCAGGGGTGCAAGGCGAGGACCTTAACCACTTGCGCCACCGCGCCGGGCCCCAAGACACCTGTTTTTAGAAATAGATTAGCGGCCAGCAACGTCCTCACCTTGCAAGCACTGGGATTCCACTTGGACACTGGTTCATATCCTGGCTGTTCCATTTCCCATCCAGCTCCCTGCCTGTAGCCTGGGAGTGCAGTCGAGGACAGCCCAAAACCTTGGGTCCCTGTACTTGCACGGGAGGCCTGGAAGAAACTCCTAGCTCCTGGCTTCAGATCAGCTCAGCTCCACCCACTGCAGCCACTTGGACAGTGAGTCAATGGATGGAAGACTTTCTTTCTGTCTTTCCTTCTCTCTGTGAATCTGACTTTCCAATAAAAATTAAATGAATAAATAAATAAATGAAAGAATTAGATTAAGGGCCTAGCATGATGGTTTAGTGGCTAAATCCTTGCCTTGCAAATACCACGATTCCCTCTGGGCACTGGTTTGAGTCCCGGCTACTCCACTTCCCATTCAGCTCCCTGCTTGTGGCCTGGGAAAGCAACACGGGACAGCCCAAACCTTGGGACCCTGCACCGCATGGAAAACCTGGATGAAGCTCCCGGCTTCTGGCATCGGATCAGCTCAGCTCTGGCCATTGTGGCCACTGAGGGACTGAACCAGCAGATGGAAGATATTTCTCTGTGGGTCTCTTGCTCTCTGTAAATCTGCCTTCCGATAAATAAATAAATCTTAAAATAAGAACTAGATTAAGACTCCAAATTGCATCACAAACAAGATCTTAAAATTATAATTTCACATTGGAACTAGTTGACCAGAGTAGAAAACACGAAGGCACGCGCAGCCCGCCGGCCCGGTACCTGTCCGTAGATGCGGCTGGGCTTCTTGCCGCGGCAGCTGAGCAGCGCCCACCTGCGGTACTTCACGTTGCACACGTGCACGTCGTTGCCGTTGCTCTCTCCGAACGGGATGCCTGTCCCTCCAAACACCAGCAGGTTGTTCCCATGCAGCACAACTGAGGAGAGAAGCACAAACTCCACTTACACGTCAGCTTCCTGCAGCGTGTTCTCACATGAAGCGGATCTGGAAACTCAAGAACACCTGTTGCTTTGTGCTCCAAGCGCATCTGCTAACGTTCTGCAGGAAAGAGCCCAGTGCACAGAGGCTGAGGCTCACGCTGCACACCTGCACGTGAAGGACCCGGGCCCTGTGAGCAAGGACATGGCACTGCTGCTCAGCGCAGGGCAAGGAGGCAGCCAAACACAGGACCACGAAGCACCAGACATGCCTGTTGGCAAAGGGCAGCGGGCACTCGGGAAGGAACTGATACAAGGCAACATACAAGAAGCTTTGCAGTCCCCCTTCTCTGTATCTTCTGCTTCTGCCAACACACACACACACCACAAAACACACACACTTGATATCTTCCACAAAATACTGGCACTCTACTGTTTCAGTAGGTTTAAGGAGAAGTCCTGAATCTTTACTACAGCATCGTAGGTAACAGCCTGGTCTCTGCAAACAGGGAGCTGTGAGCTGCAATGCCAGTGTGACCTCAGGAAAGTTACCTAACCTTCCTTAAGTGATCTTTCCAGCGATCCTCCACAGTAGGAGCTATTAGAAACCATGAAGCAGAGGTGGAGAGTAGGCTAAATACTCATTAAGGGTCTCCTAGAAGAACCTTGCCCAACTGGGATTCAACCCAGGCAATCTGGCTCCTGAGCCCCCGCACACAGCCACAGCCCCCCAGAGCCCCCACACCCAGCCACCGGCCCCCAGGGCCCCCGCACCCAGCCACGGCCCCCCAGGGCCCCTGCACCCAGGCACCGCCCCCCAGAGTCCCCGCACCCAGCCACGGCCCCCCCAGAACCCCCGCACCCAGCCATGGGACCCCAAGAGCCCCCACACCCAGCCATGGGCCCCCAGAGCCCCCACACCCAGCCATGGGCCCCCAGAGCCCCCACACCCAGCCACGGCCCCCCAGAACCCCTACACCCAGCCACGGCCCCCCAGAACCTCCACACCCAGCCACGGCCCCCAGGGCCCCTGCATCCAGTCACAACCCACAGGTCTTCAGCCCCATCTCCTCGTCTGTGACATCAGGCCCTCCAGGGTCTGCATCATGGAGCAGCTGGGAGGACTAACTCGATAATGGATGAGACGTGCTCTGCTTCACAGCTACTAATCACTGTTGCAAGCAACCCTATCTGCTGACCTACGAGCAGATGTATGACAGAATATACAGAACTCCCTGAGGCATTATTAACTCCATTCTCCAGGTGAAGAAATCAAAGCTAAAACAAATGTGGTAAGCAAACAGTACAGGGCTGGATTCAAACTCACATCCCAGCTGGTATTATACACTATTATCAAGCAGCACGTGACGCCGAACTTGGCCTCTCAGCCATTTCACAAAACCCAAAGTTGAGAATTACTATACTCACGTGACATGGATGCCAGTTCCCGGGGCATGTAGCCATCGGTGCCCATCTGGTGCCATACTCCTGTAGCGAAATGATACCTCCACAGCTCCCTGAAGAGGGGGTAGTCCTCATTATCTGGCCCCCCTGACTCATCATAGTCTGGGTTATAACCTCCAAACACATAGAGGTTGGTGTTGTCGGCCACACAGCGGTGTCCACTTCGTGCTGGTGGAGGTCTGTGGCCTAGGAGAGAAGAGGACAGCGTCTCACGGTGGCACACACGAAGGGGGGACAATCATTTCAACTACAAAAGCGGGCAGGGGTGATTAACAGGCATGAACTCCATCTGCTTTGAGTGAACACGCCCACAAACATCACTCAAGGTGCTTAAAGGAGCTAGTCTCCAGCTCCATTTTGTATAATTACTTTTAGATGTGACAAATGTAAAAGCATTCTTCTCAAGGGAGGCAAAGCAGGATGATAAACTCAAGAAAAGAGCTAACAACTTAGGAAAGGAAGAGGAGGAGGGACAGGAGGACAGGAAGAGTTTCATAATCTGAAAGCTAGCAGGGCAAATGTTCTTATTTCCTTAAAGGAAACACACACGCACACACATGCTCACATCAACTAAATTAAACTGTGACTACCAGAGAACTATATAAACATAATCACAAATAAAATACACAAATAAAACCTATCATTTTTCTACAATTACATGCCTAAAAAGAAACTGGCTGTGAAAGAGTTACAGCAAAATTCAGAATCTAAATACCATTTTAGATAGTATTTAGATGGCAACTAATAAAGAAAATCCTTACACTTATCTCAAAGAACAGTTTTCATCCAATTAAGAACTTTGCTAAGAAAAGCTTTTCTACAACTTATACCTGAAAGCCCTCTGAAGCTTAAATGACATCAACTCTCACTAACAATTACTTCAGGGCTAGTTTAGCCTAACAAGACAACATTTATATTATCTCCATCATGCTTACATCTTTTTACGCCAGGCTAGGCAAGCCTTGCATAGCTACAGATCCAAAGATGCTTAAACATCTCCTGGGTGAAACAAGGAGCTAATGCAGTTGCATCTATTTTTGTATGCTGTTAATGAATACTCAGGACAATGCTAGGTACCTGAAAAATACAGTGAAACATTTATAACCCACCTACTGAAAGGCCTTACCTGTTTACTTCAACAAAAGTCCCACTCTCCAGGCTACCTTATCAAACAAGAAATGAAAAGGAAAAACAGAGAATCCCTGAAACACTCCGTCCATCTTGCCAGTCCTCATCCATGCCTGCTTACTGCTCAAGGGCCAAGTCCTCTGCCCCATGTTTTACAGACTTCTCCTGCTGCCTGGTCTGATGTATCACTCACTGCCAGTTTACAATTGGTCTTTACTTGGAAAGGCCATCCTTCCTTTAATATTAGCTTTGTCTACTTCCCCTTCGACTCAGAAGTGCCTCCATCAAGTCTACCCTACGCAGCCCTGGGGCTCCTCCTTGTCAGAGGCACACTAATCAATTAGTAAGGCATACATGCACAGCCAACAAAATAATTGCATCACAACTATTTAAGCACAGCAGTGCATTAGGCAAACTCAAGTGGGCTGGCAAACTTGCTAGTGAGCTTAGGTCTCGTGAGTAGTGGCCTCAATTTCTCCTTTTGGACTCTTAAAATACAAAGGGTGGCACAGAGTGGAGCAAGGGCTCCTATGCATATCTAGGCTTGAATCCAGGTTCTCTCTGATCACGACCTGGAAGCAGTTGCTGACCCTCATTGAGTCTCAGCTCATCTGGAGGCAGGGACATTACTGCACCACTTCATACACCTGTTAGGTTAAAACAGGCTTGTTGGTTTACACACGGTCTGTCGAGCAATCTGAGGAAGAGGAGTGTGCATTAATGTCCCAAATCAAGCCGGGAGCCTATGGGAGGCACTGAACAAAGTTAGGATTCAACTAACTTGACATTTAACTTTTCTCTACTCATTTAATCAATTCGTATCTCTTTTTCAAATAGATGATAAACCCTTCAGGGGGCAATAGACCATGTGCAAGTTATTACCCTGTATGGGCCACAGACCCTCAGAGTGTTGGGGACACAGAATGGGTATTAAGAGTTTGTTGACTTTGAATTTCAGGTCAAGGAAGATGCTAACAGGGATAATCCAAACAGTGCGCAACTTGGACTGCTGCTAGTATATTTCAGAGACGATTTAGGGGACATGTGCTACAATGTGCAATGGTCTCTTTAAGACACAAATGCTTCGAAGAATGAGCAAGGCAAGTTTCAAGAAAAAAGCAGAGTGGCTGCATGTGCTTGATAGCAACTTGACAATCTCTTTCTGGTCTCTTGCTGTGTTGTCTGGCACCAACACATCAACGTGGCTGTTAGGCAACAAGAAAGCAGTGTTTCCTTGAGTTTTTACCAATTGTGCAGCATGGAAGGTGTTCTAGGTGTGTTACCAACTCTTCCTACACCGAACGGGACTCACCTAATTCCATCTTCAGGAGCTGGCAGCCTCACACTTCCCACTAGTTTACTCATCAAGTGCTGTGAGTCTAGTGCTGACAATCCCTACATCAGCCCTCTGCAGCCCATGAACTAGGCTGGCCAGGCAGGTGCAGTGGTCACCAGCCGCTGTGGGCACTGCAGCCCATGTAACTAGGCTGGCCAGGCAGGTGCAGTGGTCACCAGCCGCTGCAGGCACTGCAGCCCATGAACTAGGCTGGCCAGGCAGGTGCAGTGGTCACCAGCCGCTGTGGGTACTGCAGCCCATGAACTAGGCTGGCCAGGCAGGTGCAGTGGTCACCAGCCGCTGCAGGCACTGCAGCACTGTAAATGCGGCTGGCCAGGCAGGAATTGGTGTGAATTCTTAAAAATATATAATCTACATTGAAATGTAACAGAATAAGGTATTAAGTATACAATTCACTGCATTTTAACAAAACACGCACAGTAAGTATCACATTTTGTCAAATGCTTTTGCTATCAGGAAAATCAGATTTCTTCCTTTAAACCTACTAAAGTAGCAAACTAAATACACTGACAGATAAGCCCCGCCTGACCCTGATTCCTTCTAAGATTCTACCCCATCACACACAGCAGACCATGCTGTAATTTTTCCACTTTCCTGATTTCACTGAAATAATCTTTTCCCCTCATCATCCTATTACCCCTAAAACTTTCTGAAAAACAAGCTTTTCTTTTTCAACTGATATGAAGAATAAACTGTGTCTGGAAAAAAACCTGCTTATTAATGGTGGTTACCTCTGGCAAGAGGAATAAGCTGAGTGAAAATAAAAACAGCTTTTGCTTTTTTAACTCCTTTTTTAGTGAACTAGAATACAGGAATGCACATCAACAGAACTTAACAACTTACTACAAAGGGAACATGGAACTAGCACCCAAGTCCAGGAACAGCCCATCATATAACGTAGCAGCTGACAACATGTAACCGCAGTCCCCCTTGGTGATGTCAGCACGACTAACAACCTCGCTGTCCTCCCACGGTCACACTGCACGTAGGCATGGACCGGAAACCAACACTGTTCACTAGGCTTCATTTTGCGTGGACTGATGGTTATCTCCTTTCCCTGGGCTCTTTCACATCTATGTTTCCAAGATCCAGTCCACCTGGCCATGCTGGAGCTGGTCAATGCATTTTCAATGTGAAATGCAGTTTCCATGTCTAAACACACACAACCTGATCAGCATTCTAACGTCCAGAAACGGATGCTTGGATTGTTTGATCCGACTCTAAATGTTGCCATAAACATTTCTGTACCTGCTTTCAGGTGCACAGGGGCCCACACTTCTGTTGACTAAGTCTAAAAATGGCATTTCTGCGTTTTAATGCATAGAAATCTTTACTGGATAAAGCCAAAATGCTTTCAAAGCAGCTGAATCCACTTACACACCAGCAGTGTGGCCACAGCTGTGTGGATCTCGCTGCGGCCACTGCAGTCTTTTTAACTTAGCGTTTCTTGTGGATTTGCAGACGCAGCTCATGTCTCTAACAGGCATTTCTCTCATTCCTAATGAGGTTAAGCAGCTTTCTGTTTATCAGCCATCTGGATTTTTCCTTTTGGGAAATGCCTGCTCAAATCTCTTATACTTGACCATTCTTTTGTTAAGATATCCTTTAAAAATTGTTTGTATAAAGCTGTCATATATCCTTGGGAAGACAACCCTCACTTCTCATCCCAAGTGTATTCATATTATTTGAATACTCATTTTAATAAGTAGCTCCTACACTTGTAAGTTATGCAGAGTTCTAAGACTTTCAGTACTACATCTAAATTTCTAGAATGTTCTAAGTTGTACTAGTTTTTGTGCATATTATTCCTTCTTACATCTAAATCTTCCTCTTCATTACTTATTAGGAATCACTCTTCAATGAACTTTCTCAAAATGGGTAGACGTCACAAACTTTCAGATTTTACATTTTGATCCCTCATAAACATTAGTGAGCCTGGATATAGAATTTACCTTCAAAACAGTTTTCCCTCAGAACACTGAAAGCACTTCTCTTCCAGAGGGACAGGACGCACTGAGGCCAAGGCCGGTGTCTTCCTAGGGGACCTGCTGGAATCGTAAAGCAGCTCAGTGCTGTAGAGGAGGAGGCCTTGCGGTTGGGTTCTTTCTTTGAGCTGGAGAGTGTCATAGGTTTGTTTCTATGCTTTGTGTTTCTGCTTGGTCCTTGACACATATTTTATACTTGAAAACTCAGTCTTCACTACAGGAAATATTTCTCGTTTCTTTGTGTATTCTGTTGTCTGCTCTTTTCCCTCCAGAGCTACTGCAAAACAAACACTGGAGCATTCAGAGCTATTCTCAAAGCACAGATTCCCTTCTGTCTGCTTTACTCACTTTACGGTGGCCATTCCCTCTATTTCCATGAGATAAGCGGTCCCAAGGCTGTCTAATCGTCAACCCCACACTGAGTTTGTTTTTAGGAATCAACACTCAACAAAAACCACATCACCAGTTGCGACTTGCTTCTGCAAGCTGCTTTTAAACTTTGCGTCCAGTTCACTCAGCTTGGAGTACACTTCCTAAAACTCTCCCTCCCGCCTGACCGCAGTCCCCACCAGGGACCAGCGCGCTTGCTGCTACTGTCAGAGCTCCGCCAAGTCCAACTTCCCTCGGTGCTGGCCACCACGCACCTCAAAAGCACAGGGCTTCATGCTAGCAGCGTGACAGGCCTCTCAGCGCCTGGACTGTCCCCAGAACCTTCCGACAGGCCTGACAGTCTGCAGGAAGTGGGACGCCTCCTCCTGGAGGGTGAAGGCAGCACAGGGAGGGCGGGACCGGCCTCATGGCAAGCAGGCAGCTGCCGCGACATGCTGTGACTGCATATGGTTCATCCCCTACAGGTTCACGCGGCGGAAGCTGGGTCCCAGTATAATGTTACTGAGAGATGGTGGAGCCTATAGAGGGAGTGGGGGTGACTAAATACTGCCGTAAGGGTCATGCCCCTCTCAAGGGGCTGTGTTTTCTCAGGAATGTTTCAGTTGGAGGTTGGGTGAGTCACCCCGAGTGTGACCGACCAAAGCTTGTCAGTATCTCTGTGCAAACCCACTTCGCCTTCTGTTTTTCCACAATGGAATGGCACACCGTGAGGACCTCGCCAGGAGCTACACTTAACAGCTGATGTCACATTCACTAAGTTCACAACCGTGAGCTGCAACGCTTGTTTACAAAGCACCCAGACTTGGGAGTTTTGTAATAGCAACATTAGAAGGATGCAGACAGACAGTATGGCCCCTCTCTATACCCCATGCCTCCACAGGACACCCTTTCCGCCCTCCACGCAGCCCTCTTCATCCAACCTGCCGTGAGGTCCAGTGCCCAAGGCTCTGCTTATTGCCCGTCTCCAATCTCAGCCCGTGCCCACCGTGTCTGCCCGAACCTCCCTAAACATTCCCTGCCTCTACTTGAAAAACTTTATTCTGAGAACTAATGCCACTGCTCAAGCTCTTCGCATGGAGGGAGGGAGGGCATGGAGGGAGGGAGGGCGGGGAGTGAGCGACTCCCTGCCGCTTTCCTTGTCCCCAAAGCTGCTCCATTTTCTTCCACTTGCAGACTTTAGCTCGGAGTCTCAGGACAAAACACTAGGAGGAAACTATCCAACTCCTGTGGCCAGCAGCAGTACCTAACTGGACAGTACTGTATTCTGGGCTGGTTTCTCTATCAGAACAATTTCAACTGCTTTTCATAATCCTGGAATTCTTCAAAATTTCTACCACAGTAACAGCAAAAAGGATAACCACTAAGATGAATTCATATTGGTTACACGTGAAAACTGCTAAGTGGGCGCACACTCTCTCCTGAAGGTCACAGTCATTCTAGGAACCACGTATGGCAGGAACGAATCTGACTGTCCTGATTTTTACTGACTAGGAAACTGAAGCAAAAACACAAAACTAAAGAAACCATCACCGACAACAACCAAAATACACCCCAAAACCAGCAAGTTGCCCAGCATCACACACACTGGGCAAACAGCAAAGCTTGAATTCAGACTCTAGCAAGTCAGCTTCGTACCTCCTGGTTGTGTTTCTTGATGGAATTAAGACGTGCTACCATTTTCCATTTTCAGTGATATCTGAGAAACAGGGGAAGGTAAATGGGCATGTTCAGAGCACCGTTTCCTGGTGGGAAGCCGCCGTTTGCACTATTACAGTATTGTGTCCATCACACCCCTTCAATAATTCATCAGTTCCCTCTCACTGCCTCCAGAGAGAAGCTGAGCACACCAGCACTTTTTAATCCTGCCCGATTCCTTGACTGTGGCTTCTCAATAATTCCATCCAACTCAAATGCGTGTATCTGCCACACACCGGAGGGGAATGCAGTGAAAGGCTCTCTCCTCCTCGCCCAGGCCTCGCAGAGCTTACAATCTAATGGAACACTGGGCCAAGCCGACAAGTGACTAATGCTAACCGTTGTGACCCAGGCAGGCACTCAGAAGGTTCTTCCAGAACCAAGAGGAGACAGGCCTGCCAAGCAAGTCTCCCTGAACATGACCAATCATTCAAGAACAAACAAGAAAGAGGTCTGCCAGGGAGATGTCCCTGAAAATCACTTTGAAACTGTTAGATGATAAGCTATTACTTTGAAAAAATAAATTTACCATCTTTTCCCTAAAACCACCGCTCATCCACACACCTGCTGCTGCTCCACACGGGAAGTCAGGTCTAACTCCTGTCTCATCAGTCATCAAGTGTTTTCAAAATCCACTTCATATTTCCAATCAGCTGCCTATTTTTCATTCCTAGGACAACTACCTACCTTTCAACCTCTAACATTTCTCAGCTTGCTAATTATAATAATCTCCTAACCAGTTTTTCAGTTAAATCTCCTTGCCAATTAGAGATGTGATCCTGAAGATCCCCTAGGCATGGGGACCACCTGGCCAGTTCCAGCTTCTTCTGTCACCTCATCCCTAACATCCTCAATCCCTACGACCTCCAAGGGCAATGCATCCTTTTGCCATCTCCATGCGTCTGCCCCAGCTGCTCGGTCGCCAGGCCTCCTTGCCATCAGCTCCTCAGCTCACAGACACTCCTTTCTCATCCTTCTCCCAGCAAATTGAGTTGGGCAGCTCCCCATGAGCTCCCCTGTCACACTACTCCACCAGGACCCTCATCACAAAGAATTATGGTCAAGTTATTCTGCAACTGGCTGTTTGCCTCATTACCTAAGATGCAGACCATCTCACTAGCACAGTGCCTGGCATATAGGAAACAATCAATAAATAGCAAAAGAATGGAAGAATGAACAAACAAACCAAGCCAGTGTAGAAGTTGATGAGACAACCAAAGGAGATGATATGAAGAGGACCAGAACATGGAGGCACACCCATCTTGAGTGACAGGAGGAAAGAAGGCCACGGAGGCACAGACTGGACAAGCAGAGGCAGGAGGAAAACATGCAGCATTGCAGAGCACAGCAGTGCAAAGGAAGGGGGAATTAACGACAGGCGTCCAGGGCATCCTACAGCACTGGGAGCCGAGTCAGGCCAGAGCCGCACAGGAGACAGCTGGATGGGCACTGCCGGGCCAGTATGCGCGCGGCCGGCCCTCCTCACCCTGGGACCAGCTCGCTCAGCCCGCGTGTGAGCCAGTGCATGGGACTTACCTGCGCAATCTTTTTCCCCCACAATTAAAACTAAAAACAGACTCTATAAAACAAAATAAAATCCCACCATCTAGATATAACCAATTATTTTACTATTTCCTTGGTTTGTTGTTTGTACTTTTACATAACAATTAAGTATCCCACTGAAATAATTTAATTATATTTGGTGAACATTGAACAGTAAATCTTAATTTGTGTTTTATTCAAAGTTAGGTTTCTCATTGTAAATTAATAAATCAGATTCTAATTTATAAATGAAGAATTTTAATTGTCTGCTTGGCCACACACATGCTTTTTTGGATCTGGGGGGGACTTTCTTTATCTTTCTATCTTTCTTTCTTTTTTGTCACATAAAACTATCTCTTAATTTTTATCAATACAATGTGCCCCGCTGAAACCGTCTCGGCTGCGGCCTGATGTCACTCTGTGTGCCGCGCTGGCAGCGAGAGTGGGTCAGGCACCAGACGCAGACACAGCTGCATCAGCTACAGGGTTTTTAATCGAGGTTTTACAAATTTCTTCTTCAGTTAAAATTAGGTATATTGGCTTATGAATTAACACCGTCTAAATTGCAATGTGAAGCATGCTTTCTTGATAACGTAATACGCACAATGACAATGTGGACCAAAGTTTTCAACTTTCTCCTCACAGTTCCTTTTCTCAGTTTAGGATATGTTTGAATCTGAGAACTCCAAAGTGAAAGGAACCCACGATTTTTAAAGTAAGAATGGCTCGGTCAAAGGGCATGAAACCTGTCAGGTTTTTGATACTGGACTCAGAAACTCTGTAACTTCCACTTCCCTCACACAGGTTTACCTTGCTTTCCTCGACAATGACCAGCCACACGTTGAGTCCTTACCTGCTTACCACGTGCATGTCTTCGTGCTTAAACGGTCATGCTTTAACAGGAGCAGACATCAATATTTGCCCTTGTTTAATGTGTTTCTGTTTTGCAAATTCATTACTTACAATGTTTTACCTATTCTAGGGGATATTTGCTTCTAACCTATTGATTCATAAGAGCTCTTTATATATTCATGAAATTAAACACCCGTTACAAACATTCTATTGTTTATTTATCTGTTTTATTTGCAGCATTTGACATAAAAAGCTTTTTATTTTATACCATTACATATATTTTTAATTTCTTCCTTACAATCACATTTAGAAAATTCTTACCACATCCATGGTTTACAAGTTCCTCACTCACAGGTCTTTGTGCTAAGGCTAGGACGGGATGCCGATGACAGCAATGGGGTGACCATTTCCACCATCTCATACACACTAGGGGGTTCCAACTCCCCAGAACTTGCAACCTCAATTCCAACAACAGTCAACATGAAACAGATACTTAAAATTAAGTTCTGGACTTTGATCGCCCCAATTTTAGCTGCCTCCATAATCTTAAGAAACCAGAGTTTAAAAGTTTAGAAAATCCATTCAAAGCTCTCTGTAACCCACACGCAGCACAGATCTCTTGCTAGTTGTCACCCACCTCTCAAAAACCTGTTAGGGATCCTTATGATGGGACAGGACTGAATGAAGCGCCTCCTAACTGGGTCCCATCGTATTTTCTTCTTACCTGTTACCACAATTATCAGCAGTAAGTCAGACACATACAACACATGGCAAATGCTACATACTTACTTTAGTTATAAAGACAGAAAAAACAGGAAACAAAACAACACTTGAATACAGAAGGAGGTGACAAAGTGGCAATTAACTATTTGGGAAGTAAAAAAAATTAAATTAATATATAAGCAGTGATGACATTTTAACTGTTAAAACCAAAATAACTCAAAAGTTCACATCCAATTTTATGTACTTTTTTTGGAATTTGATTCAATAATATATACACTCAATAATCACCAATGCCATCTTGTGGCAAAAATTCACCAAGAGTTCTAGAAACACATTTTTAAAATGCTGACATTTTAAAGTCAATGAGTATGAAAAAAGGCGCTCTCCAGAACCAACTGGGCAGATCATGGACCCCTGTTGTGTTAAAAATCTACTAGCCTTCTTTCATTAGTTATACAGTTAACAGGATAAACCAATGAATACCATTTAAATAGGAAATAAGCTGGATTTCCTATTCCTAAAATTCTAGGGTAGCAACCAGATAAAACAATTAATATTGTAGCACTTCTGTAGGTAGAGGGAGTTCATGAACCTTCCCAGTTTCAAACTGGCCCCATGTTAACCTCAACTAAAGTCTGTTATAAACTAGAAGAAAAAATGTAATCAATTTATAAAATGTTTAAGTGCAATCACTTTTTCTCTTCATGACTCTTTGGCAGCTCCCAAAGGCAGTTCTGACACTAAAATAAAACCATTTACAGGGCTTCCGCAGACACTGCTTTCTGTGATCCTATCACAGTCCTCTACAGATGCAACAGTCACTGCATCACGCACCTGCCATGCCTGGACCGCTCAGCATCACGCACCTGCCATGCCTGGACCACTTAGCGAGGCTCTAAAGTCGGAGAATGCTGTGACTCCTTCCGAGAGCTCACAGGCACGTGTGCAAACACTCATTACATCACAGTGAAGGAACTGTGCCGGGCCGATAAAAATACTTTGAAGAAGATAGAATCAACATAAGCCTTCTGACATCACCTGCCCTTCTGCTACAACACACTTACCCTGTCTCCAATGCCCAGGAAGCATCAGTCTCATGTCAGGCAATGGGCACTATATTTAGATATTCACCATCATGGACTAGTCCACCTGCTGCAGACCTTGTACAGATCCACGATCTGTCTGATGAAATGGCATTGCTTTCACGTGTGTTCTTAATGCCGTGGACAAAGCAGATTCACGAGCAAAGTGAAATGTTTTTTACCTTGCAGGAAGGTTTACCTTTTCATCCCCTGAGTCTTTTAAACCAGTGATTCCCAAATGGGAGTCAACAGACCATTGCTGTGCTAAGGCAGAGAGCCAACAGGCCGACACAGAAGAAGGAAAATATGGACAAGGTAGTAGATTCTTCAAAGAACAAAAATATTCTATTCAAAGCCTTTTTTAAAAAAATAAGATCTGAATATCTTGTTGCTACATATTCTTTATGAGATGGTAGGATAGGAAATAGTAGTTGGCTTTGCTTCTTAATACCCTTTCATGAAAAACAGAAAATTTAAAAGCCTAGATCTAGGGCCCGGCACGGTGGCGCAAGTGGTTAAAGGTCCTTGCCTTGCACGCCCGGGATCCCATATGGGCGCCGGTTCTAATCCCGGCAGCCCCGCTTCCCTTCCAGCTCCCTGCCTGTGGCCTGGGAAGGCAGTCGAGGACGGCCCAAAGCTTTGGGAACCTGCACCTGCGTGGGAGACCCGGAAGAGGCTCCTGGCTTCGGATTGGCATAGCATCGGCTGTTGCGCTCACTTGGGGAGTGAATCATCGGACGGAAGATCTTCCTCTCTGTCTCTCCTCTCTGTATATCTGCCTTTCCAATAAAAGGACAGAACAGGTCAATCAACCACCTCGGCCATATGTTGGCAGCGAAATACTGGAAAAACGGAGACTCCAAGAAGGACTAAGTCAATCAGTGGCTCCTTCAACAACTTCATTGCACTTGGAGCAGCGAGATTGGCAGCAATTCATAACTGGTGACCTATCAAAACCACTTGAGCAAGACCCTCAGAGCATGCCCCGCATCAGGGACCTGGGGTGGGTGGGAGACTGGCTGGGGCTTCTCCTTCAATATCCCCCTTTACCTCAGATACATGAAGCAAACAATACAGAAATAATAGTCTTACCCACTTTCCTATAGCCCTTGAACCTTTTTATCCTAATTAACTATGTAAAGATTGCCAAAAGTATAATTAAAAAAAACGGAAAAAGAAAAAAAAAAGGAAGTCCAAGAGATCCAAGGGTGAGCAGGAGCTCCTGGGAGCAGGACTTCATCCGGCTACCCCAGCCTCTACCGCAGGAGACCTTGCTAGAAACATCTCCAGGACCCGTTGCAGGACCCGTCTAACAGCTAAAGTCCTCGCCTTGAACATTCCGGGATCCCATATGGGCAATGGTTCATATCCTGGCAGCTCCACTACCATCCAGCTCCCTGCTTGTGGCCTGGGAAAGCAGTCGAGGACGGCCCAAAGCCTTGGGACCCTGCACCCGCATGGGAGACCTGGGAGACCCAGAAGAAGCTCCTGGCTCTTGGCTTCGAATCAGAGCAGCATTGACCACTGCGGTCACTTGGGGAGTGAATCATCGGACGGAAGACTTTCCTCTCTGTCTCTCCTTTTCTCTCTATATATCTGACTTTGCAATAAAAATAAATAAATCTTTTTTTTAAAAAAAGGAAAAAAAATGTCTAGACAAACTGCACAGGCTGAAGACCATGAGGTAAGCACTGGGTCAGGAAGGCAGAGCTCAGCAGGAGTTCCTGAGCAGAGCAGGAGAGGTCGAGCAAGGTCACCACAGACTGACAGGAAGAGGAAACCACAGCAGCAACAGGACCTAGCCTTTATCAAAGTTCAGCTGTCAAGAAGTAAACTAGGTCACAGCTGGAAACAATTCCCCGAAAGCAAAGGAGAGACAGCCCACCACAAACACGTGCAAATACAAGCCAGCCCCGAGAGTTCAACATTTAAATACAGAACAGTCTTGACGCAAGTTCCAGCTCCGACAGCGATGCGCAATTATTTACGTTGTATTAAATAAAAAATAACTCACTAAGGACTAAAAGGAAAGCGAAATAGCAAAATGTTGATATAATTGTCTTTAAGTCGAGTGACCGTAAATGGTTTTCTCCTTATTTCAATATCTTCACATTTTCCAGTTTCAATAATGAGCCTGCTTTCCTTCTAAGGGGAGAAAGCGAGTGGAGGCAAGCTTTATCGAATAAATAAAAGGCAGAAAAGACTTAGAAGAGATCCCAATTCAAGTACGACAAATACCATGAGCTGGCATTATGGCGCAGCGGGTGAAGCTTCCCCTGCCAAGGCGGTACCCAAGCAACATCCCATATGGACACTGGTTCAAGTCCCGGCTGATTCACTTGTACTCCAACTCCCTAACAATAGGAGAACAGAGGCAGATGGTGCAAACACTCGGGTCCCTTGCCACTTATGTGGGAGATCCTAATGGCGCACCAGGCACCTGGCTTCTACCTGGCCCACTGCGGGTCTTCACAGCCACTGGGGGGTGAACCAACAGACAGACTCTTTATCTGTCTGGAACTTTGCCTTTCAAAAAACAAAAATATAAACAAAAAAACGAAATACTTGGGCCTGGCACTGTGGCCTAGTGGCTAAAGTCATAGCCCTGAACGCGCCGGGATCCCATATGAGCACTGGCTCTAATCCTGGCAGCTCCACTTCCCATCCAGCTCCCTGCCTGTGGCCTGGGAAAGCAGTAGAGGACGGCCCAAAGCCTTGGGACCCTGTACCTGCTTGGGAGACCCAGAAGCTCCTGGCCCCAGATCGGCTCAACAGACAGAAGATCTTTCTCTCTGTATCTCCTTTTGTCTGTAAATCTACTTTTCCAATAAAAATAAATAAGTCTTTCCTTTAAAAAATGTCCACACTTCAAAAGTAATTTACAGATTCAATGAGATCTCAATTGAAATACTTCTAACCTTCTCAGCCCTAAATGCTAAATGCATAGGAGACACAGAGGCCCCAAATAGCTAGAGCAATCCTAAACACCAAAAACCAATCTGGAGACACCATCGAGCCAGACTTTAAAACGCACTAGAGGGCCGCTGCGCTCCAAGCAGCCTGGTGCTGGTGCAAAAGCAGATGTGAAGAACAACGGAACGGAACAGCAACTCCAGATATAAACCCATGCATCTACAGCCAACTAATTTTGACAAGCGAACCAAAATCAATCGAGGGAGATAAGATGGTCTCTTCAACAAATACTGATATAAAATTCCTTACAGAATATGAAATATCACAACAGACAAATGAACAACATAAACAAAAATATAATCAGATACTATAAAGGAAGCAAATATGGCTCACACCTATTTGAAAAAATACATAAGAAAAATACTCCCATAATTTCAGAATCTTAAAACAGTCTGACGCCCCATGTTGGACCAAAGAGACATGGGGTCACCAGCACTGCCAAGTCCACAGGAAAGATGGCCTGTGTGGTCTCCACAGAGGGCAGGTGGACAGTGTCCACCAAATGTAGCCGGTGCCTGTCGTCTTAGCAGCAATTCCACTAGGAATGTATCCTCAGCCAGAGCCGCATCTGTGTAACAGTGTAAGGTATAAGTTCCTCTGTGTAACAATGTAACATACATGCTCACTGCATCACAAGGTGGTAAACACGTCACTCCCTGGGTGTACTTATGTGCCAGGGACAGAGTACACAGCTCCAATCCACCCGGCTGCTTCCCCGTGACCACAATGGCTGGGCCAAGCAGGAGCACAGTCCCTGTGTCCCACAGGAGCATCGCCTGTCCCCGCTGCCACCCGCGGGGTCTTTGTGAGCAGGAGGTGGGAGTCAGGAACAGAGCAAGAGATGCCGGGCTGGCTCCCTTGGCCTGACGCCCTCACCCACACGCATTTCTCTGGAGGGAGCAGGCCTGGCTCACTGGCTGCTTCGGGGGAGAGGCCAGCAGCAGGGGCTCCTCTATACCGCCTGCATTCTACACACACTGCTTATTTTAAAACTGTAAGACATGATTTGCACCCAGCTTTATCAGTTGTTAAAAGTATCGCCAGCATCTATATTATACAGCAAGCACACCTGCTGTTCTCCCAGGAATGCCTCTCTAAGGAAGCTCACCCCAGGGAAGCCACAGCCCTAACTCAACCTCACCTCCCCAGCTGCTGTGCTCGGAGGTGCCCTCAGCATCCCTAACCTGGACATTGCACTGCTGCCAGCTTTAACTGGGGGACAGGCGCCAGGAGCTGGTGAAGATCCAGGACCAAGCCACTGTGACTGCCAGCTTAGTGAGCACTACAGGTTAAAACACCACACAGGCACACAGCTGCTCAAGGCTTCCAAGACCTAGGTGTCTGCAGGCTGAAGAACTCAGCTGCACCTCTGGGCAGGGTCAACACACGGCAGGACACCAAAGACACAACGCCAACACACTCAGAACTTAAAAATACACTTGGTATACACACGCACTTGATACGTATCAAGAACACTAAACCAGGGCGTGCTGCAACGGCTCAGCGCCTTGCACGCACCGCATCCCTAATGGGCACCAGTTCAAATCCTGCCTGCTCCACTTCCCACCCAGCTTCCTGCTTGTGATCTGGGAAGGCAGTCAAGGACGGTCCAAAGCCTTGGGACTCTGCACCCGCGTGTGAGACCCAGAGAAGCTACAAGCTCCTGGCTTCAGGTTGGCTCAGTTCCAGCCAATGAGGCCACTTGGGGAGTGAACCAGCGGATGGAAGATCTTTCTCCGTCTCTCCTTTTCTCTGTGAATCTGACTATCCAATAAAAATAAGTAAATCTAAAAAAAAACAAGCCTATTGCGGAATCACATACAAATGACAAGTGGAGAAGCATTTTAGGAGGGCGCGCAGAGAGCACCGCCAAGTCAGAATGGCCAGAGAACACTCCTGGAACAGCATGCCTGAGCAGAGAGCCCAGGGCGAGAGCAGCACCCCAGAGCACAGCAGAGGGGAGAGCACATTCCCGGACCACGGAAGAGCAAGTGTGAGGATGCCTCAGAGCTAAAACCAACCCAAGGGTGAGCACACACCACTGGGGGATCGGGTGGTCAGAGGGGTCAGAGCCCCTGCGCCTATAGGTCACGGTGAGGATTTCTGCCTACCCTAAGAGCAGCAACACACACACGGAAAATGTCTGTGCAGGAATGAGTACAAATGTGTGCTTGTAAAAAGATTACTGTTGAGCCCGGTGCGGTGGCACAAGTGGTTAAGGTCCTTGCCTTGCACGCCCGGGATCCCATATGGGCACCGGTTCTAATCCCAGCGGCCCCGTTTCCCATCCAGCTCCCTGCCTGTGGCCTGGGAAGGCAGTCGAGGACGGCCCAAAGCTTTGGGACCCTGCACCCGCGTGGGAGACCTGGAAGAGGCTCCTGGCTTTGGATTGGCATAGCATCGGCTGTTGCGCTCACTTGGGGAGTGAATCATTGGACAGAAGATCTTCCTCTCTATCTCTCCTCTCTGTATATCCGCCTTTCCAATAAAAATAAAATAAATGTTAAGAAA